TTTGGTAGTTTAAATTTTATGGAAATATTTTAGAAATTATGTAGATTCTGTAGTTAAGGTGGTTCCAATATTAACTCGATAATATTGCTAGTTTAGGAGAGATTTAAGGGAATGTAGGAGGCATAAAAGGTGGATGGGTAAAATGGAGAAAGACTTCAAGGGCAATATGGGCAGTGTAGAAGGATAAATAAGGGATTATACACTCCTCCTAAAATGTAGGAAACCAACTTTGGTCATGCCATGCAATTTAGAAAAACTTTGGCCATTTTGGTTAACGATAACCTGTGAGTAGCCATTTCTAAGGATTTCCCTTTACTTTTTGTCGCTTTTTTAACTTGATTGGTTCGCCTTCAGGTGCATTTTCCCTTTTGGATCGGCCTACGTCGCTATTTTTGCCATGGAACATTGGGCCGTAAGCTCAGCCCATCAGCTCAATGTTATTCGGTATCGAAGACCTTCTACATTGGGCTTTTGGCTCACCCACTCAGCCCAGTGTTATTTGGTACTGAAGTGAAGACGTTTTGGAAATGTGTTAAAAAAACATTTATAAATATGTATCCTTGTAGAAGTAATTGCACATTTTAAAATAAAACTATACCTATATTACTTCTATGTCTATGTCTATGTAATTTTAAGAAAAGTATTAACCACATACGTTTCTACTTATTTGATTAACTATAAACATTAATATATATTTTCAAAAAAAAAAAAAAACTATCAACATGTCTTTTCTTTTAATACAACAAATGAAAGTGGGGGATTCGAACTCATGAACTATGGTTAAAGACAGCCACAGGTACTAATTAACGTAAATATTGACATACTTAAATTATACACGTTATTTTATTTATTTATTATATTATTTTAAGCAGAAGTACACGTTTATTTTAAATTTTGCTATATTTGAAAAATATTTTTATGTTCTGTTTTTGTATTACAGATTCGAAGTTACCCTTTTCATGGACCACATACCATTATTAAGAGTCTGAAAGGGGAAGGATCAGCTCCTATGCCTCATATCTTCACAATGCCTATCTTTCGTAAAATAGGTAGTAACCATGAATTTTTTTCAATTCGTTTAAAAATTTATATGAACAGAAGATAGGTTTGTATTACAAATTTAGTTTTTTATGATTTTAGTATAGTTTAATTTGGACTCTAGAGTTTGAATTTAGTTTTAAATCAATCTTTATAATTTAAGCTTAATTTCAAATTTCAAATTGGTTTGATAAACCTGCCTTCAAATTGTGTTTTACCCACTCAAAAATATATCAATTTTCTTTTATTCTTTTGAAATATAAGCCCGAACATAAAACTAAAACTTTATTTTTTTTGGTGAGGTGGTTGATAGAATCCTCGGCTTATGCATAGATTAGCTATAGAGATGAAACTAAAACTAAATTTAAAATATAAATAAATCAAATTGTAACTTTTATAATGGATTAAATTGAAATTATGCCTAAACTAAGGAGATAAAATTTGAGTTGGTTTGATGAGGCAAAGCCATGAAAGAAGAAGAAGTGATGTATCCATGGCAGAATCACAAAAATGGAAAATGTAATCAATTCAGGCTTTCTGGGTGTGGGGCTAGCCAGAGACAGCCGTACCATCAAAAAATACTTTTCCAAGCTCAATTACCAACGCCTTCGCTGGAAAAAAACCAAAACAAAACCCCTCTCTCTGACCATGCATATAACATATGCTATGCCATGGCATCATTGATTGAATAAATCATCCAAAGGGTCAAAAATCGAAAAAAAGGTTCATCTTTTTCTCTCCCTTTTTCTTTTGTTTTTGATGGGAAAGTTGAGTTGAGGCCTCTCTCTTTTCTTTTCTCAGGCATTATTATTCAGTGGTTGGATTGGGAGTTCCGAAACGAAGCCAAGGGACCCAGAAGCCAAAGCCAAAAACGAAGCTCATTGGAAGGTGAAAAGGTATTCGATTTTGCAAAATAATTACAACAGAAGAAATGTATGGGATTAGTAATAGTGGGCTTTGAGAAAGCCAACCTTTTTGTTCGAATAATTCTTGCTTGATTGCCGCCTTTATCTCTAATCCCTACCTTTTTCCCTTTTCCTTTCTCTCATCTCATCGCCATGGGAAACGCCCATTAGGTGTTTGATGTTTGTCCTCTGTGAGAGAAAAAAATAATATTTTGCAAAGAAAACCGAAAATGGGTCTCGAGGTTGAGAATTTTGGGCTGGATTGGAGACGATAAAGACACCCAAATCGCCAAAATAACAAATTTTTAATTCTCTCTCTCTCTCTATCCCTCTTTTTGAATTGTGGATGCAGATTAAAATAAGAATATGAAGGCTTGACAGTGTGTGTGTAGTGGGAAAGTGGGACGTTTGTGGCCACTTCACGTGAAAGCTTTGCCCCAACTCTCTCTCTCTCTCTCTCTCTAGAGGTGTGAGAGAAAAAGTGGCAATTCTGCAATGGCTGTAACGCACGCAAAGCAAAAAAACTGGCTAAAGTCATGCAGCAAACAGTTTGCTCATAAGAGTTCAACAAAGAAAATGTCAAACCCCTAAAGATGCCCATTTTCCTCTACCCTAATGTTTTCAACAGTTCAAACTTTACAATAAAGTATAGACCAGATTGTTTAATTATAAGGGCTTGATTATTTTGAGGCCACTTTAAAAGAAATGGCCTTTTTTTCCTTTGTTATGTGGTACGTTTTTCCATGAGGTTTAATGATACTAATATCTAAAAGGAGTTACCAAAAGAGAATGTTGATTAATCAGTATGAGTTTGAATGATTTTAATGCTTTTTAAAGCTTTTTAAAGCTTACATGGTCCTTGGCATATATTAGGTGCTTTTTTTTTTCCTCCAACTTTGTACAAAGAGCATCAAAGGGACCAATGAGATTTTTACACATAATAGAAGAAATTATTAGTGATGATCATTCAATTAGCCAAATTAAATTGATTTGAAGAATTATGTTTGCATCTCAATCTCCCATCCCCCTCTGTAATCTTGTCAAAAGGACGAGGGTTTTAGAAAAGAAACCCACTACATTGATTTTTTCAAAGACAAAGGGGATGAGATTAATAGATGGACCATAAACAGGGAGAGATCAAAAGTTGGACCAAAATAAATTAAAAAAGGCCTCAATCCTCCCCATTCTTTTATACTATCGAATTGAAATGTCTTAAGGATAAAATTGTTGTTCTAAGTTCATCGAAGAGAAATCAAAGAATCGATGTAGGTCGAGCTGTCCAATCGAATGAACCAATCCGATGAGACTTTCTCTATTAATTAGAAGAGAGACTTAAGGTGCGAGGTATGTATCATATTGATATACAAATCTTTGTCTGTTTTGGACATAACCCGACTTTGTTTTGGTATCACCCAACCAACTGTAGCAACCAATTCAAAACTTGTACCTGAGTTTTTTTTTTTTTTTGGGTTAGAAAAGAAAAAACTCAAAACTGAAAATGCAAAATTAGGTGTATGGTATTTGTGAGATGTGGAAGAGATGGAGACAGATGGGTACATCCCTAATAATCCTACTACTCCCAACACTGAACCAGTCACTTTATAGAGCAATTTGAAAAGTGGGTTTTGCTTTGCTTTGCTTTATTTCATATCACCCACACCACCCCCTCTCAGTCTCACAGCTACCATTGAAATAGAAAAAGAATGAAAAAGAAAACGACCACCACAACCTGACAAATCCTTTGTACCCTCTAATACCAAACGAATCTCCACACACCCACTACTCAATTCTCTCTTCTTATACCTATAAGCTACACAATGCAAAATTATTGAGACAGATTCGTATAGTATTATACTATAAAAATAATAATAATATAATCCTTCTACTAATGGCAGTAATTTATTTGTGACTTCACTCGTGAACCCAACCAGATCATTCCTTCTCTCCCTTTCTCTTTCATTTAGATTAGAGAGAGAGAGAGAGAGAGAGAGAGAGAATTGCCTGAGCTTTCTCTCTTTTTTCTTTTTTTGTTCTTTTGGGTTTTGTTGAAATTTGAATATCTCCGAATCTTCTCCTATTCACTTTCTTCCTTCTCTAGTTTCAGTGGGGAAATAGCTCTACCAAAAGTTGCTCCTCCTGCCCAAAAGCGCTTGTAAAAAGCACTTTCAAGAGCCCTTCTCTAATCATATTTTCTCGAATACCAAACACAAACAACACCCCATTGAAAAAAGAAAAAAAAAATCCTTATCTAAAATCTTCGTCTTCCTCTGAA